GAGCAGTTGTTAACCACACTATAGATTAGTCTGTACTGTGATGGGGAGAAAGCATTAAAGGTACAAAGTTAAGTTAGTTACAAGAGTATGTATAGTGTGGTAGCACTGGTGTAAATAATGATGATGACCATGCTACAGCTGAATAGAAGAATATTGAGTAAATATGCATGGAAAAGTCTATAGGAACCAAGCTGCAACTATTTATTTTTAATTTATTTTATTTATTTATGTATAAAAGAACTGGGGTGTAGGCCAGAGGTGTGGGGGATGAGAGGATTCACCAGCGACACAGTGGGGAACAAAACAGGTGGATCTACTGAAATACACTGCTGAGGGGAGCAATGAGTGAAACAGGAGAGATTTGCTGTGCCATGTGGGTTAGCTCGCTGGCTGGGCATAGAATACAAGCCGCAGTGGCTGGCCATAACTTGATAGCACTGAGACTTAACCACTGTGCTGCCAGGGAGGCCTAGCTGCAAATGTATACATTTGGGTACAGATTTGGGAAAGATATTTTTGGTTTTTGCACTACAAATTTTAACATCTTTTTTTTTCCCCCAATGAACCTATGTTACTTTTGTGGGCATTAAAAAATGGTAAGGACCCAAATCACAAACCAAGGCATTACCACAGGCAGGAAAGAGGAAGGGGACAGAGAAAGACCGTGACAGTAGGTCCTTAGCCTCAGGGATAGATGTCAGGTCTCCTTCCTTTGTGATCAGCAAAGCCTAAGGGCACTACACGTTCTTGGGGAGGGCAATTAGGTGATAATGAAGCTGCATCCGGGGTCAAACTTCATCTCTGCCGCAGTCTCATTGGCCTTGTTCCTTGTCAGTCTAATGACTGGACTTGCTTCTGTGCCTAGTTTTAAATAAATCTTTCAGAAAGAAAAACAGAGTCAGGGAGGGAGAGAGAAGAAAGATGTGGGAGAGGGGGGAGAAGTGAGGCAGAAAGGAAAGGAAAGGAGAAGAGAGGCTGTGTCCCTGCATCTCCATGGCCCCAGGAAGTGGGACGGGGAATTGCTCCTCAGCTCTCTGTCAGGAGTCGCCATGGAGACGGAGTGCTGGCCTCTTCATGATTAATGCTCAGAGCAGCTGTCTTCTTGTAGTCTTTTAAAATATATACACTATTATTTGAACACAGTGATATTTAGAGCCAAGATCAAGGTGAGGGGTGGGAGAGGAGGCAGTAACATTACCAGAAAGATGACAGGGGTTGGGTCCTTGCCAAAAGAGAGAGAAGGGAGGTTGCCTTTACGGCTCCATACCTGCTCCCTGAAGTCCTCCCTGAATCCAGAGCCTCCAGTTTCATCCACTGTGGCATCAGCATCAGCATCTGAAGGGCCAGAGCAGTGCCTGGAACAAGACTGTGTTCAATGAACATTTGATGAATGAATTTGTTCATTCATTAATTCATTCAGTATTTATTTGTTCAGTGCTTGTCTAGAAAATTCTTCTTCCCCTACCCTTTTCCATGGAAATCAGAAATTTCCTCTCACCCTCAGCAAAGACACACACACACTACCACCATGAGCAACTTCCACTCGGCTCCTACAGACCTTTTATGTGCTCCTCCTCAGCACACATCTGACTCAACCCACGGTGTTTCTATCCATGGTAATCACTCCAGGAAATTCTTGCAGGGATAGACATCTGCCAGATCAAATTTGCACATTTGCCTATTTGAAAAGTTAGAGAGAGATGTTTTATCTGAAGCCATCCTATAGTGAATCCTGTTGTCAAAATGATTGTCTTTTCCTAAATTTTTTCTGGTGCAAACTCTCCGTGCCAACACTTAGTAGAAAGATATGTGGCCTTAGGCAAGTCATTTAACCTTCTTGAGTCTGTTTATTCATCCATGAAATGGGTCAATTTCTTAATCCATAGCCCTTTTGTGATGATTAAAATCTTTGTAAAGTGCTTGATGTAGTGATTTCCCTTGTGTAAATTTGTGTTTTTATATTGAAGTGTGAAATAAAGTGATCAAGTGCCTCTTTTTTACTTTTATTCTCAAAGCCTTTATTCTAAATATCTTTGTAAGTTATTAAAAGTTGGAGAGTTATTAAAACTCTGCAGGACACACCTGCAGGACCACTGAAGGTGTGTCCTGAAGAGTTGGGTGTGGGTCAGCCCATATCCAGAGCACAACTGACTGTGTTCCCTTTCTCCCCTCCCACTCACTCCCATCTCCAGGTTTGCCTCCAGGCCTGTCCTCTAAAAAGAGGAAGTTTGGGTGTTTTAACACAGACTTAGCCAATGACCATTGGCAGAGCGCAGCAATGACCTGGGAACTTGCCAAAGGAGTAGAGGAATTATCCATGACTAAGAAGGAGGAGGAATGCTGTGGCAGAGGGCAGAACAGCAGAAGGGATGGGGAACCTGGGGCTGGCCAATCTGTCCTGACGGGGCAACCTGGGGAGCCCTGGACACAGGCCTAGCCAAACCCCACCACTCCCCTTCCCTCCCAGGCAGCAAGATGCCACAGTGGATCTGAGACATGTGTGTCCCTGTATGTCTGGGGTAGGATCACCTGGTGTTGGCAATGCATTTGGATTAGAATCAAATCCTCAGTCTGAAATAGAGTATAAGGGAATTAGTGCTCTGTGTCTAATCCTTATAGACATGTGCTAGGTTTCTGTGCTTCCTACATGCACAAACAGGTGTGCTGCTTACACAGAACTCATCTGTGGCATTTGTTAGGACAGGTTACACATGTAGCACTCTGTATGCAAAAGACCTTTGTATAATTTCCAGACATCAAGAGAAGATAGATGCAAGTGTGTCAGCATATGTTTTGCAGGTGATTATGTGATGACATATTATGTGAACATGTTTGTGGAGCTGTTGGGGGGTGAGGGAGCAGGCAGCTAGAATGGAGATGGGTCCTAGTAAAATAAATACCAAAATCTACCTTATAGTCTTATTAGGCATTTAAAGAATAGTGAACATTGAGAAACTGAATGAATAAATATTTGGATAATATACTTAAGGTGAAAGACCTGAGAATTTGGTCGGGTGTGGGTATTCTTGTTGCTCTGTCTTGGAAAGGTGGGTGCAAGAGGCTGAGAGATATACTGCCAGTGATACTGTAGCCCATCACTCTTGAATGGCTTTACTTCTATCTCCAGAAAAATAGAGAAAAGGAAGTCCCAGTCCTGCCCTTCCTACCTCCCAGCACCCAAAGTCCCAGGAACTGATGTTTTTGTAAAGAAAAATATGCTATTTCATCTATTTATTTAATCCCCACATTTGGTTGCAGAAAGCAATTGATCTATAGACACATCAATTTTTTTTTCAAGAGTATGAGAAAGGAGGGAAAATCATAGCAGAAGAAAAGATGAAATCAGGAAAGAAGCCGGTTTCTTTGCTAAAGTCAACTTTAGCCTGATGCAGCAAAGACTCACAGCCTCCTTAAGGCTAGGGAATGGTTTATTGGTTTCTTTCAGTTTTCAAGAAAAAGCCCAATTATTCCAGGTACTTTTGAAAAATATTTCCTGCCAATTATCTGTGTATTTCAGGGTGGTGGTGGGGGAATCCCGTGTGTAAAAGTAGTTTATACAAAGGGGAGGGAAGCTAGAGAAACATCTCATACCTGTGGGTAAGGGAAACTGGTATCACATCTCTGAAGGACAAATTGCCCAGTGTCTATTAAAATTGCACATACCTTTTGACTCAGAATTACACTCAATGGAATTGATCCCACAGATATATTCACAGTTATATGGTCAAGGACATTGGCTACAAAAACCTTGGTGAAAGCAGAAGGTTGGAAACTTCCTACATGTTCATGGATAGGGGACAAATTGCCCTACCTTAGAGTGGAATACCCTACAGCCTTAGAAAAGAATGACCAAGTTAAGCTCTTTATGTCCTTTCAAGAAGCAATCTACCAGCTACTTTAAATGAGGGGGAAAAAAAACAAAACCATACTGCAGAACAATGCTATGCTTGCATATACATATATATTTTTGAAAGGCTACACAAGAAACTTAAATGTGGTTATCTCAGGAGCTAGGTGATGAAGAAAAGAGAAGCTTTACAATTTAGAATATACCGTTTTGTTCTGACTTTTCTTTCTCACCATTTGCAAGTAGTACGATCCTTTTTAATTTAAATAATAGTTCTTTTTCTTAGAACAAACAACAACAACAAAAAAAACTTAAGAAAACGAAAAAAGAACACAGCGAAGAGCAAATTAATAACGGCAAATTATGGTTTACTGAGTACCCGTGAGCCTAGAACTTCATAGGCTCTAATCCAATTATTCTGCATAGCAAATTTACTAAGTAGAGAGCTATATCTCCATTTCACAGGTGAGGAAACTGGTGTTCAAGGAGACTAAAGGACACAGTAAATGGCAGAGAGCAGATTCCAACCACAAACTGTGCAACCCCAAAGTCAAGCGCACCTTCCCTCGCAGTCCCCCGGGCTTCGCCTCCAGGTGAGAAGCGCACGCACTGGACGCAGGTCCACGCGGCGTAGCGCTCAAGCCCGGCGCACCCGCGGCCCCAGCGCGCAAGGGGCTCCACGCTCGGAGAGCGCGCGCACGCAGTGGCGCGGGCCCGGTGGCAGCAGCGGCGGCGGCTGCGACGACGTCACAACCCGAGCTTTCCTTTTCGGGAGTCCCCGGCACACATCCTGTGTCCATGTTTGGGCATTTACGTCATGGCGGCAGGGCCGGGGCCTCCCGAAATGGCAGTGGCCCGGGGAGTCGGAAGCCCTGAGCCAGCGCCGCCGCTGCTATATAAGTGGGGGGGCCGCGGGTTGGGGGAGCCCGGCTGCGCTTTGAAGAGGCGAGGTGCGGTTGCCCGAGACTAGTCCCGGCGAAAAAAGAGAACCCTGGCCCCAGACCTTTTTCCCAGAGGTGAGCGCCGGGAGCCAGGAGCCCGGGCACCTGGGTGTGTGCGGCGCTGGGCGCCTCGACTGCTGGCTTGCCCATCACCCGCGCGCTCCCAAGCCTAGCGGGCGAGGCCCCCGGCGCCCCGCAGCCGCGGCCGCGCCATGCTCCACCTTAGCGAGTTTTCCAACCCCGACGCGCTTCTGGTCAAGTCCACCGAGGGCTGTTGCGCCGAACCCAGCGCAGAACTGCCTCGGCTGCCCGCCAGGGACGCTCCCGCGGCCGGCGGCTATCCCGGAGGTAAGGAGCGCGGTCAGGGGTGCTCAGACGGCGGCGCAGCGCGGGGGCACTGGATGCCGGAGAACCGGCGAGGACTGGAATGCAGGAACTGTGGGGGTAGGGGCGGTAGGAGGCTCCGGGGTCCTGTAGTGCGCACCCCTTACCCACCCCCACAGGGCCGCCGCCTGCGCAGAAACCTTTGCGTGTATCGAGACATCCTTTGCCTGCACGTGTGTTTTTCGTGTGCATGCTCATGTGTGCGTCTCGGGGCATTTGCCGGCTGCGGCTGGGTCAGGATGTGCAAAAGACATTTTGTGTCAGTGAGCACCAAGGGCTTCCTGGGTAGGGGGTGGAACTCCGAGGCGTGCCCTTTATTGTGCCCGCAGCTGATTCCTGCTCCCCCCTTAGCAGGCGACTTCTTGAGCTGGGCTTTGAGCAGCTGCGGCGCCGGGGGGACTTAGTCGACTCCTGCTTCCTGGAGGGGCCTGCGCCCACGCCCCCTCCCGGCCTCAGCTACAGCGGTAGCTTCTTCATCCAGGCAGTACCCGAACACCCGCACGACCCGGAGGCACTCTTCAACCTCATGTCGGGCATCCTAGGCCTGGCACCTTTCCCTGGCCCTGAAGCGTCAGCATCCCGGTCTCCGCTGGACGCCTCTTTTCCCGCAGCTTCCGATACCTTGCTGCCGGGACCGCCGGATCTTTACTCCCCGGATCTGGGCGCAGCCGCTTTCCCAGAGGCGTTCTGGGAGGCCTCACCCTCAGAGGGCGCTCCGTCGCAGTGCCTGTATGAGCCTCAGCTCTCCCCGCCCGACGTCAAGCCTGGCCTCCGTGCTCCTCCAGTCTCCCCAGCGCTGGACGCTGCCTCCTCTTTCAAAGGTCCCTATGCTCCCTGGGAGCTGCTTTCGACCGGGGCCCCAGGGAGCTGTGGGGCACAGGGAAGCTACCAGGCCGCCCCGGAGACCCGTTTCCCTCCTTTGGGGGCCAAGGTTGAAGACCTACTGTCTATCAGTTGCCCGGCAGAGCTGCCGGCGGGCCCGGCTAACAGACTCTACCCGACGGGGTCCTACGACGCTTTCCTGCTGGCCCCGGGTGACCTAGGGGAGGGGACCGAAAGCCTCCCTGGGCTCCTGACCCCTCCTAGTGGGGAGGGAGGGAGTAGCGGCGACAGTGGAGAGTTTCTGCCGGGTACGCAGCCTCCGCTTTCTCCGCTGGGCCTCCACGGCGCGGCGGCGGACTTCCCAAAACCTCTGGTAGCGGACATCCCAGGGACCAGTGGTGTGCCCGAGCCTCCGGGGCCGCCGCCACCAACTCCATTCCCTCCGGCCAAAGCTCGGCGCAAGGGGCGCCGGGGTGGCAAGTGCAGCGCGCGCTGCTTTTGCCCGCGGCCTCATGCCAAGGCCTTCGCCTGCCCGGTGGAGAGCTGTGTGCGCAGCTTTGCGCGCTCCGACGAGCTCAACCGCCACCTGCGCATCCACACGGGTCACAAGCCCTTCCAGTGCCGCATCTGCCTCCGCAACTTTAGCCGCAGCGACCACCTTACCACACACGTACGCACCCATACGGGCGAAAAACCCTTTGCCTGCGACGTGTGTGGCCGCCGCTTTGCGCGCAGTGATGAGAAGAAACGGCATAGCAAGGTGCACCTCAAGCAGAAGGCGCGCGCCGAGGAGCGGCTCAAGGGCCTGGGCTTTTACTCGTTGGGCCTTTCTTTCGCCGCCCTGTGAGAGAGTGGTGGGTTTGTAGATCGAGGCCGGCGCCGCCGCCCGGCTCGCAAGAGAAGACTTGGCCCGCTCTTCTCTCTGCTCCTCTTCCAACCTGTGGTCATGCTTCCGGCGCGCCCGGGGCAGACCTCTGGTCCTGCTTCCAGTTTCCTTGAAGAGCCCGCAGCACACGCCCCGTTCAGCACCAGCTCCGCGGACAGCTCCCGCCGTCCGGGCGCTGTCGCCCCACCTCGGCCAAGCTTTGGGGGAAGTCCTCTTTGGTTACTCACGGAGTAGGTACTTCCAGAGACTCCTTGGGACTCCAGACAGTCTTTTGTAATTGGCGCATGCCCCACGCCTTCCCCTCGATTCCCCAGAGACAGGCTGGGGTAGTGCCGAGCCGGTCTCGTGCGGGACTTTGTACAGCAATGTCGTTTCCAGCAGCCATTGGATGTAACGTTTTGCTTTGGGGTTATTTCCTTTTAGTTGTTGTTAATTTTTTTTTTTTTTTGTAAAGCAGACGCTACTTTCAAGCAGTTGACAAAACTGTTTATTTTTGCAATTAAAATGGTTGTGCTAAAAGCTTATTGAATCTACCATCGGAGCTCCTGAGCCCTCCCCCTGCCCCCACTCCCCTAGGAGAATTTGTGCCAGAAGAGAAGAGATATCCAGGCTCATGGAGTCATTGCATATCTGTCAGGCATTGTGGCACATAGTAGGCCTTCAATAAATGTGTACTGAACTGATGGATAAATTTAATCACAGCTGACCCAAGAGCTCAAGATATTCCTGGAACTTGAGAGTGATTGAGAAGCTTAAGGTTAAACATTGTGTGTATGTTACCCTTCTGAATCCTCATAATCCTGAGTGAAGCAGGCATATAATCCATTTCAAAGATAAGGAAGCAGTGTAGGTCACTTTCTGGGTTATCCAGCTAGGAATGGGCAGGGTCAAACACAGGCCTGGCTCCAACGCCATTGCTTTTTTCCCCCAGCCCCAGAATGGAGGCACATCAGCTTAAGCACTGTTTGGAAAAGTTTTCTATCAGGAGGTGAGAGACAGATTCCACAGCTAGAGGGAGCCCCAGTCAGTGGTGATAGCAGAAGACTACTATTTCAGTGCTCTTTGTGAACACCCAGAGTGTTGGTTGGCACAGAGCCTCTAGACAGAGCCTATGCATGTGTCTGCAAAACACATAGTGAGGGCCACAAGGGACTCAGCATTCAGTCAGACCATTGATGAGCAGAGCCAGGCCCAGCTAGGAGGGGGTGTTTGCCCGAGACTCACAGCTGCCTTAGTTGCTCTCCCCTCAAAGGATCTATTCCATGGAGCAAGGGCCCACTGACTGTCCTGCCCTGTGCCTGCCACAGTCCCTTTTCCCTCGCTCTCCTTCCAGGGGCAACCTTCATGGTTTTGGGTGAAGATAGAAGCATAGTAAGTAAAGCATGATCCTATAATGGGGAAGGTGGGACTCCCTGAATTCCCAGCCTGGAAATTTTTGCACACTTTCTGGCCCCATGGGCAGATTGTGGAGCATTACAAGCCTGCTATGCACCACCTTTCTCCTCCCCAACTGCTCCTTTCTGCTAAGAACAGAAAAAGGTCTGTCTAGGGAACTTGCTCTTTTCTCTTAGAAGCTGAGTTATTCTTGAATTAAGAGAGCCTTTCAGTCCTAGGCTGTCAAATCAACCCAGCTTCTGATCCTCTGGCTCTCCTCCATTCTCAGATGTGCTCACACTCCGGCTCCACAATCTGGTTGATCAGAGACAAAATTATCAAAACAGAGATTTCCACCTATTTCTCTCCCCAGGTGTAAAGTGCTTTCACATGGTTGAGTATCTTGTGTCTGATAAACTGATTTATAGTAAAGGAATTAATATTACTTCTTGGAGAGTTAACATTTTAAAAGAGTAGCCTGCAGAGGGCAATATTTAACCCTATCAAGAGGCTCAAATGATGGACTCTCAGGCCCTGTATTGGATAAGTTGTGGATTCATGGAGACATAAGATGATGATGACCTCACTATCTTACTATTTAAATGACCACATCTTTCAAGTGTAGGTATGAAGGCTTAAAGAGGTCACCTGGAAGGAGAGCTAGGGAAAAGGAGCTATGGCAGACACATGGCAGGAAAGCCAGTGGACCACTGCTCCCTGGAGAAGATCCTTAGAAGGGAGAGCAACTAAGGTGACTGTGAATGTCCTTGCTGGCCTTCGCCTGCCCATCACTTAAATGCAATGTGATAACTTTCATTATGTTACTATTTAAGTTACCACACCTTTCATTTACAGGCACAGGCATTTTCCATACAGAGAAAGGTAAGAAAGAGCACAAAGGCTTAAATTTCCAGCAATGATCCCAAATTGCACAAACGGAAAAAAGGCAGAAGGCAGACATGCTGTGGGTGAGTGGCTTATTATAATCCACTCATCCTTGCTCCTTTCAGTGGCATTCCACCAAGTGCTATAAGCTCTACCGTATTCTTTCTAATCTCCCTAGTCTCCTGGGTTTTATATCACTGTTGAGCACATTGAACCCCATAGAAGTAGTGGTACCAGTACCAAAGCCCTGCCTGGTTCTAGAACTCCTAGATAGAAATCCTTCCTATTATTCCCAAGGGAAATTGCTCCATTTACTCCATTACTTTCTCTAGGGAGTGAGAGAAGAGCATGTTAGACCATGAGATGGAAGGAATTAAAATCAACCAATCAGAAAATCAATGCAAAACCAATTGGAGACCAATAGAGACTATTGGGGACTCATTTTCCTTACTTGCTCCTCTTTTCTATCTGGTCCTCAAAATATGGGTGTTCTCCTAGACTTGGTTCTAAGCCCTCTCCTTCCTTATTTCAACATTCATTCCCAGGCCTTCAGCTATCACTGATAGCACAGATGATTTCTAAGTCTGTCAGCTATGTTCTCTACCTGTCACAACCACCTAATCCTGACAACTGAACATCCCCCAAATGTAGTTCCACCATCATTTCAAACATAATCTGGCTAAAGTAAAATCATCCTTTCATATACCCACTTTCTGCTAATGGCAACCGTCAATTTTTGGTTACATAGACACCTAAACAACCACAATTCTCCTATAGATTCACCTTGGCCTCTTCCTCCTGCATATCCACAGGCTGTCACACAGATCTGTTGGATATTATTGAAGTTCTTCCGGGTCTTATATATGCTTACTCATGGTTCATTGTTTCTCTTATGTATTGTAATTTTTGGCTTGTGAGCCCATCTTCAGTGGGCATTTACTTGGGCAGTGACATTCTCTGTTTCAAGGTATGTTTCTCCTGAGCAGTGTTGTGTTTGCTTGCTAGGCATTCCAGGAGCATCAACTAATAGAGACCAATTTTTATGTTAATTTCTTGGCTCAGTGTTCCTGCACCATGCAGGTGTTGTGAGTTCAAACTGTAACTCAAGTAGTTTTAAATTCTTAGAGGCAACTCCCTTTATTCCAACAAGGGCTCAGGTCAGGACAGATAAGCGATATGCCCTCCTCCCCATACCCCCTGAGGTTACACACAGCACATCTCATGCTTACATTCTTGTTTAGGTCCATGTAGATATTTTTCCTTTCTTGTAGGTTTAGTTAAGCATTTCAGTTGTCTGTTTTTTGCAAATCAGCCACACTTTCTGCAGCAGGAGGGTCTTTGGGTTATTTATTCAACAACATTGATGAAAAACCAATACCAGAAAATGTTAATTCTTCCATTAAAATATTGCCCACATTTAGCTTCTCTGTGCCTATTACCAACACCTCAGCACCCCCTCCACAACTTACACACCCATTGACTATAACATCACACACCAGTTATAAAGGTTCACTGAAATCCTGATTCTTATGCTGGAAAGACAAGAGTTGAGTAATATAAATCTTTATGAAGCAAGATATGGGGGAGAGTTTGGCAAAAAAATCCAGAATGTGTTACTTCCCATCCCAGCCTCTGTGCCTTATTTGAGACAAGACTGCAGTAAGCCAAATCACTTATTGTGGTCACTTTGCTTCCATTCCTTTATCACTTCATTCCATATTGCACAGCAGTACTGACGTAATTTCTCTAAAACATTATTCATGGTGCTTATCCCAAGCTGGTCACAGGTTTCACCTTTCTACAAGAAATACACTGCACAACAAGAAATACAAATAAACCACCAAGTCTACTGCCCCAAATATTAAGTGCTTAATTATTGTGTTGGTTGGCAAGGGGGAAAAAGCCCTAAAGGCCTAAAGGGAGAAAGGAAAAGAAACAGGGGAAAGAGTAAGGAAGGAAGGTAGATGAAGAACATAAAACTGGGAAAAAGAGGAGAGAGGAGGAGGGATAAGAAGAGAGATCGAAAGATGTAGGACTGAGGCCCTGATCCAAACCAAAGACTTCCATGAAGGGGATCACATATTTGGCTGGTCTGTACCTGTCCAAATCATGTGGACTCCCATAACTGTGCCTCAGATGTGGCCCCAGATGTGTCTGTCACTCAACTCTTTGTTTCTCTGGCCCAAATGGAGTGGGATTCAGTATAAACATTTTTAGAACTGTGGTTCCCATAACAACCAAGCAGGGATTGTTGTCTGTGAAATGTAGCAGGAGCACACATGCGCACAGGCACACACACATACATATATGCACATGTACAAAAAATACAACCCACACACACATACATGGACTCACATATTGCATGTACCCACACATGTACGTGCATGTGCTCACATTCATACACATATGTGCATGTGCATAGCTATATACCTATATTCACATGCCTATATACACACATGCACAAAAGCACACATATACCTACACAAACACACTCCAAATTGTTTTTGAGTATTCACAGTAAGCACTGAGTGAAGATAACCTTCACTACAACAAAGGTAGAACCAAGAAAACATATGGATATTTTTGGCTTTCTGCAAAAGCAGTGCTTTTAGGGAATCTGCATTTTGGCAGGAAAAGGCTCAGTAAGCTTAATATAGCAAAGAAGTGACAGGAGAGCACTGTATTTAAGCACAGACTTTGGA